TATGGAGAGCGGGGGAGGTTGAAATAAGTTGTCGAAGTAGTGGTACCGTCGGTTCGCTCGCGTTTGTGAAGGGTCCGTCTTTACTCGTCACCTCCGACTTGTGCCCTCTGTGCGACGAGTGTTGCGGCTGGGGTCACCTAGGCCGAGCAGAGTGCCGTCGGTCTCAACTGTCGTCTGCATATATATAAGCAGTGAAAACGTGCAATTATTAACACACGCAGTTGCATATTTGGCTCAAAAAGCCTGGGATGTTGGTTATTTTCTGCATCTAGGATGACACCAAAAGCCTCCCAGACGTTGGATTTCGCTCCTGAGGAAGAGTTATTGAAAATGCTGTATTCTCCGCTAGAGAGCTTCACCTCAGCCATTCAGAATGTGGCGCGCTCAGCAGCAGATTGATGCGCTGCAGAGGTTATGATTATGCTCGGTCCCGCGGGGGAGAGGTCTGAGGATTTAAACATTAAACTAAATTATTATTATTTAAATATATTTAGTATGCAACACCCGCAACCCGACCCGCATCATCTTTGTTTTACCCAGAACCGAACCCGGAAAAAAGCGTTTGAAAAAATACCACCCGCAAATCACCTTTTTTGCGGGTCACCCGTCGGGTACCCGCGGATACCCGACCCGATGCAGGACTCTGACTTGACTATTGTTTGGGATGTGTTTCTATTTTATTTTCTTCTTTCTTTCTTTCTTTTTCTGTTTTGTTTGTTTTGCTGATAGTACGTAAAGTCTGTCTTGTTTATTAAGTGTCATTTCTATGCATAAAAATAAATAAAGAGATGTTGAAAAAAAAAAGTTGGTCTTGAGTTCAAGACAATTTGTGCAGTGGGTCAAGAGATTTCCGTGAAAAGCAGAACTTTTAAAAAGCAATAGATTTTTGATCTATGATAATTCAGTGAAGAAATCATTGAGATTGTACAGATTGATGCTGAGGCACAAATTGGATCTTTCAAAGCGCTTAGAAATCTTGACGCACACACACACACACTTATGTTTATGTATGTACACATAATCCCCACATAATCCTACCTGTGAAGAAAGACAATTTAAATTCAAGGTAAGGGCAGCTAAATTATTAATACAGCTGACCCGAATGCTTTGAAGCTTCAATCGTTACATATTGAATTTGACGTCCAATTCAGCATTGGAATAGTTTCTCAAAGCCCGTGCATGAGGGGATTATATTAAAGTTGACAAATAGTCCTAACAAAAACCTCTGCTAATTCTGTGCCGAACATTTTGAATCAGTTGCAGATTACATAGGAAAATAAAACATTGTACAGTAAGCTATTTGTTGGTGAATAAATGCCTCAACCGAGGGCAAGTTCCTGCTTGTCAGCTGCTGATTAAAGGCTTTGGCCCTGAAGTCAGGTGCAACTTCGGCAAACGCTTGCCTAAATTGGACTGACCTTAAAGAGGATCAGTTACACACATTTTGATGACAAGATGCTGCTCTGAGTTTTGCTCAGTCGTGTTCACATTTTGCCAAACCTCACATACAGCTTAAGACGTAACCAGATACATTTAATCCTTTTTTCCTATCTCTCCGGCGTTTTTATTATTCCACTGACAACTAAAGATTATTTTCGGGTGTAGAGACAACACTTTGATCACAGGACAGTTTAAATTAACTTTGGTATGTTAAAATATATGTTTGTATGTTTGTAGCCCTGCTTGAATTACAAAGGCAACATTTAAAAAGTATGAATTTGAAGGGGAATGGGATTAGTAAAGCTGACATAAGGCTAATTGGGAGCAAACTACCTGGCCACAAAATGCCTTTAAATGTGAACAATTTGTCATCTCTACTTAATAACAATATGCTCTTTATTATATTCTGCTGTTATTTTTAACAAGTGATGATTAAAATGTGAATATTTTTTGGACTCAAGAAAATACTTGTGGCTTTGAAAGTTTCTGAAGCATGTTCTGAAAAAGTTGTTTTAGCCATTGTGGCTATTTTATCAGTATACCTAGAACCAGAACATACTGTATAGTGATATGGTATCAACATAATGCAATACCTATCAGCATTTCTTTTTGAAAAGTGTGGTTCTAATAGCTCGATGACAAAGGGACTACTCATAGGGCTACTACTGATGCAGCTGAGCCAACTGCTAGCCAGCCAGAACTGCACTAATCATTCACAATAGCTCTGAAGGCCTCCAGCTTTTTTTTCTGTACTGGGACGTTTATTTCGCCCTAGGGTGTCACAAGCACCAATTTCGGTCAAAGGTCAAAATCTGAAAAAGTCATGGCAGTCATTTTGTATGCTGTGAGGAAAACAGGTTGCCATTGATCCAATTTGCACGTCAGAGTAACAAAAGTTGAAGATGACCTTCTTTCTTTTTGATTTAAAGGGGACCTATCATGCAAAATGCACTTTGTGATGTCTTTTATGCATAAATATGTGTCCCTGGTGCGTCGGGGAACTCACGCGGCGTCAGAAAATAAAACGCTCTCTCTTTTCCTCCGTACCCAAATCTTTTAAAAACGGGTGTACAACGAGCGGATACAGATTCCATCCGAACTGACGTCAATTCGGCGGCGGACCCACAGAAAGTTGCTATCAGAAACAATGCCTGACGTGTTTTGGACGTCTTTGTTTAAATTAGCAAGTCTCGCTAACACTCAGAGCTAACCTGTACTGTAGAGCACATGTGTTTAAAAAGCAGGAAATAAAAAAGGAACTCACCTTGTGATAAACCCGCAAGAGAAAAAGCATTTGAGCTCCATACTATTTCAGAAATAATCCTTGACGTGGTTTAAACAGGATGGCGTTTTATCACAACCGAATTTTACTTTATCTCCGGTAGAATTCTGATCAGGCATTAGCTCCGCCTCCTATTATTTATTTTTTTCAAGCTAAGGACCCAAAATCTGCGTTTCTCTACCAGGGTTTCAAAAGAGGGGTTTGAGCAATATGAGGCATGGCTACAATGGGTGATCGTCTGGTATTTTGAAAAAAAACTTCACAGACATGTTTTATATAGGTATGGCCCTACAATATATATTTCAAATATAGCATGACAGGTCCACTTTAAGTCATTGATAATTTCACAACAGCAAGTGGATGTCCTGAATGTGGCCTTTAGTTTATTAATAGGTGACAATTAAAAAAAAAATGACATTCCTTTCATTAAAGAAGTCAATATAGCAAACTTGTTGCATTGCTCAGAAAAAAAAAACTCAAGACACTTTTGTATCACGGTTTCAATCACAATGCCTTTTTTCTTTTGTGATATATTTTCACGAGAACCGCTCTCCAGGGTTTAACAGTGTTACCAGACCTCTATGTACTCAGGTTCTTTCCTCCCTTCCTGCCAAACTGAGGATCAGCGTGTACAGCTCATGGCTATTGAAGCAGTTGACCAGCAGAGTAAAAAAACAAGGCTCTACATTTTGTGAGGTCTCTCTCCCTTTGTTCCTTACGGTTCTTTCTCTCACTCTTGTTCTCCTGTAACACAACTGAATGCTACTCTGCCTGTGTTTCTCTCCCTCTCTCTCACTCCATCCTTGCCTTCACAGTATCTATCCCTGAGGGCCGATCGATAGACTGCTACAGCCTTTCAATGAAATCTCCCCTGTGCTACTGGAGAAAAGAAACGTCGTTCAATCGAACCGATAACTCTCTCCCTCTGTTCATTTTGATCGCTCCCT